GCTCAAACTTCTTATTAGATAAAAAATATTTATCATATGATCATCACATATAGCCACAACTGTGACTATAACAGGCATGCAGTTTAAGCAGGCAATGTTGATGCTGTGATGAAGTTCACAAAGGTCACAATCTATGAAGGAGTTGCCAGGGGCAAGATGGAAAGTAATTTCCTGACACCTGCTTGCATGTTTCATTTTAATTTTTGTTTGAATGTTTATTCTAAGCATTCTAATAACTTAATTATCTTGGTGCATTTGGGCTTCTTTGCTGACTACTGATACACAGTGAGGTTGCTACTGTATATTTTCTTAATCAATATATACATTGAGTCAAAAGTCAAGATCTACCCAGAAGATGCTTGATGGTAGGTTAATGTCATCATAACAATTAACCCCTTAAGGACACAGCTTCAGAAGCTTGACTTACGCTTAATGACACAAGCAATTTTTGCATTTTCTTGCTGTTTGCGTTCAACTGCAATTTGCATCTCTCTCATTTATTGCACCGACACATATTATATACTGTTTTTAAAGGACAGAAAGGGCTTTAATTTGATATAACATATATATATATAAATGCTTACTTATTATAAAAAAAATACCGAAAAATGCAAAAAAAATGAAAAATATTGGGTTTTTTTACAGTTTTTGCAATAATAATGTGTGCATAATTAGTGCAGGTTAAGGAAAGTAATTGAAAATAAATTTATTTATTTGTTCTGATTTACAGAATATATAATGTGTCTGGGATTTTAAGTTTTTTTTGGTAGTTACAGGTCACAAAGCACAAGGAGTAAAATAAAATTTTAATGTGGAGCGATTTTAGAATTTGGTATGTTTGTCTTGTAAGCTTAATAGCCATAAAAGAAAACAAAATTGCCACACAAAAGTATATATTTATATAAAGTAGACATCACGGGCTAGTTACCTAAGGTTGTTTTGACACTTTCTACGTAGCCATATTACCGCCAACCTCTGCTAAATATTGGAGTAAAATTGTGTTCTTTTTGGTTTTTGGCACACAAACTTATAACAGAGAAATTCTCGTGTATATTTTGTAAAGTTGGTGCGTGCTATTCCTGTACAAAGTTTTATTTTGTGTTCAGTTACATCTGCTGAGTAAAATGACACCCCATTGTATGTCTTTTGCACTATTTCGTGAAGTTACAGTGCCATACAGGATACCTGTCCTTTTCAGTATTCACAGTAGAATTTTGAGAGATGAATTTAATGAGCCTTAGCTTCCATTTGGGGTATTATAACAGTTTGACTGTTCAAAAAAACCCCACAAAGGCCTACCATTTGTAAAAGTAGACACTCCAGGGTATCTTATAAGGTGCATATTGTGCCTTAACATGCCCCCATTTTTTCACCAATATATGCCAAAGTATGTGGTAAAAAATAATTTTGTGCATTTTTTACATACGGATTGCATTTTTGCTGGGCGTTTTGTATATTTCATATGTGCCACTAAGTTCAAACCCCCCAAATTATGCTCAGCTAAGTCTTCTGAGTAAAATGACACCCCATATGAATGTCTTTGGCACTATTTCGTGAGCTACAGTGCCAGATAGGAGACCTGTCCTTTACAGTATTCACAGTAGAATTTTGAGAGATGGATTTAATGAGCCTTAGCTTCCATTTGGGGTATTATAACAGTTTGACTGTTCAAAAAACCCCCACAAAGGCCTACCATTTGTAAAAGTAGACACTCCAGGGTATCTCATAAGGTGCATATTGTGCCTTAACATACCCCCATTTTTTCACCAATATATGCCAAAGTATGTGGTAAAAAATTATTTTGTGCATTTTTTACATACGGATTGCATTTTTGCTGGGCGTTTTGTATATTTCATATGTGCCACTAAGTTCAAACCTCCCAAATTATGCTCAGCTAAGTCTTTTGAGTAAAAATACACCCCAATGAATGTCTTTGTCACTATTTTGTGAAGCTACAGTGCCATATAGGAGACCAAGCCATATCCGTTTTTACCAAACTTTGAATTTTGACGCTGGGCCTATGTGCAATTTCCAAGCATCTTCGCAGGTTTTAAATTCAATCTACCCCACAAAGGCCTACCATTTCTTAAAGTAGACACCCCAGGGTGTTTCAAAAGGTATAGTTTGAACCTTAGCGTGGGATCATTTTTCCGCTAGCTTGTACCAGATGTAGTGGTAATAAGCGTTTTTTCTGCCTTTTTGACATACAAAGTGAGTTTGCACAGTATATTTTGCAAACCTTATGTGTGCTACGACTGTATAATACTTCATATGTTGCTCAGCTATGTCGGCTGAGTACAGCAATACCCCCGTATGTACCTTTGCCAGGTATGTGTGGACATCGGAGGGGCACATTTGGGACACAGCCATTCCAGTTTTTTTCAAACTTTGAATTTTTATGCTGTGCCTATGTCCCATTTTAGAGTATTTTACCAGGCTATATAATCCAAATTCCCCATAAAACCATACCATTTCTTAAAGAAGACATCCCAGGGTATTTCAAAAGGCATATTTTGAACCTTAGTGTGGGATCATTTTTCCGCTAGCTTGTACCAAGTGTAGTGGTAATAAGCATTTTTCTGCCTTTTTGACATACAAAGTGAGTTTGCGCAGCATATTTTGCAAACCTTATGTGTACTATGACTGTATAATACTTCATATGTTGCTCAGCTATATCGGCTGAGTACAGCAATACCCCCGTATGTACCTTTGCCAGGTATATGTGGATGTTGAAGGGGCGCATTTGAGACGCAGCCATTCAGTTTTTTTCTAACTTTGAAGTTTTACGCTGTGTCCATGTTCCAATTTGGAATAGTTTAGGCGGTTGGTTATTGAGACTTCCCCACAAACACATACTATTTATTAAAGAATACACCCTGGGGTAATTCAAAAGGCATATTTTGAACCTTGGCGTGGGATAATTTTTTCTCTAGTTTGTTCCAGGTGTAGTGGTAATGAGCGTTTTTAAAATGTATTTTTTTACTTTTTATAACTTTTTTACTTTTTAAAACTAGTTTTTAAACTTTTGTTTTGCTTATAAATTTTTTTTAAACTTTCCTAAACTTTCTTAAAACTTTTTTACAGATTTAACATTTTTCTAAGCTATTTTTTTTACTGTTAACCCCTAACTAGCAGTACGCAGCACTAACAGTAAATTCCCCATTTTCCCATAACTCCCACCCACCCCAGCTAGCAAAATATATAGTTATAAAATATTTAAATTAATTAATTAAATAAATTGAACCCCTGAGGGTTAAAAAAATAAATAAAAGTTAATCCTCAGGGGTTAAAAAAAATTAGATCACAGTATAATACTGTGATCTCTATTTGATCGCTGTAGGCAGTGATCGACTGGCAGGGAAGGGGTTAATTTTTATTTGGACTAGGTAAAGTGTGTTTTTTTGTTTTTATTACTTAAATGTTATTAAAACATTTTTTTAAGCTTAATTTTTAACTTTTTAAAGTTTCTTTTAAAACTTTTTTTTAACGTTAACCCCTAGTTAGCCTAACGTCAAATCCCCAATTCCCCACTAACTTCCACCTACCCCAGCTATCTAAATATATAATTTAAAAATAATTTAATTAATTAATTTAATTAATTTAACCCCTGAGGGTTAAAAAAAAAAAGAATTAACCCTCAGGGGTTAAAAAAAAAAATCAGATCATAGTAAAATGTAATCCCTGCCAATTGATCACTGTAGTCAGTGATCAATTGGCAGGGAAGGGGTTAATTTTTTATTAAAATGGGTAAGGGGGGGGACACTTTAAATTAACTTTATTTTTTTTAACAGCAGGGGGCAGGATCAGCACTGATCCGGCTCCCTGCACTTCACACAGAACCCGGAAGTGCAGGGAGCCGGTAGGTAAGTATTCAGAGCACATGTGCTCGCTCCGACTTGTGGTCAGAGCGAGCACATGTGCTGGGCAGCTTGACCGGGTGCTCCCGGTATGCCTCCAATGCAGAGGCATACCGGGAGCACCATTAACCCCGCGATCGCCGCGATAGCGGCGATCCGGGGTTAATTTTACCGCATGACGGACGAGGTCCGTCACCCGTCGTTAAGGGTCTCCCCTGTGTGACGGACCTCGTCCGTCACCCGTCCTGAAGGGGTTAAGGACCAAACTTCTGGAATAAAAGGGAACCGTGACATGTCACACATGTCATATGTTCCTAAGGGGTTAATGCATGTAGCATTAGATAGGAAATCTTCCAAAGATCAAAAGGGCAGTAGATATTTACACAATAATACAAGATTCGTGGGTTTGATGAAGTCCTACTCACAACTAGCTTTGTGGAGAGCTTTTTATCCCACAAAATTAAATTATACTTGTTTTTCTAAGTCATATTGGCATTGCCAGAAGGTTAAAAATATTTTTATTAAGGAAATTACATAGTCGGGCCATAATGTATTCATAATGGACCTTGAAGATGATATAAAAAGGCCTAAAGCAAGAGCAAGTTGGCAACTAAATGATAATAAGTTTTTTCTTGAAAATAGAAATGAGGACATTTCCCCATCAGTGATTTGGTGTGCTAATAAAAACATCATAATAGGCAACTTAATTAAAATTGGATAGTTTGAAACAAACAAACAAACAAACCAATAGATCATAAATCTTAGCAGACCTTTACATTGCACTGGGTGCTCTCTCTACTCAAAATAGAGTTAACCCCAATCGGGGGAACAGTCCAAGAGATTGACAAGATTCCAAAGTCAATTAATGATTTGCTAATTAAAACAACAACAAAAGCTTTTAAAAAGACTTAATATGATCTGGTATGATATGGGCAACGGAGCAAAACATTTAAAATAGTGGATAACGGTAAAATCGCTATAACGCCAGAAGATATTATGGCTAGTTTTGCAAGTGGAGCCAACTAGCTAACGGAGCGGTCGCATACACCCTGAGCTTGGATATGGAAAAATCTTAAAACTCAATATTACCCTAATCTGGGAAATTGATCAGTACTTCAAAAGCCTCAAATGGAGCAGGAGACCATGGGCAAGCACTCCCGTAAATCCCGGGGCTTGTGCGAGAGCCACACCCGGGATATCAGCTTCTTACTCACCCAGCCATCCAGGCCTAAAATGGCAGATCGATCGGCAGATACACCACGCAGATCCACATCGGCCTCAGAGGAGGAAGATCCAGAACCAGAGGACCATCAGCCACATACCCGAAGTGGCAGAGTGGCTCCCCAGTGGCAGCCTGACCCGCAACTGGCCACAAAAACTGACATAACCGCGATGATGACGGAGATTAATGCCTACATTGCCTCAGAAATGGTGGTCCTGAAAACAGACCTCAGCTCTCTGGCAGGCAGGATACAATCCACAGAGGAAACGTCCGCAGCCTTAGAGTCAAACAGGACACTACAACAGCCCAGAGCTGATGGCAAAAATGGGACAGATGGAAGATGCGACAAGACAACGCAATCTAAAAATCCATGGGATCCCAAATGCCATCGATGCTGGCGAACTCCCACAGTTCATCAGGAGGCTACTCTCCACTACTCTGACACACAAACAGGATAAAGGTACACAACTAGATGGGATATACCGTCTCCCAGAGAACCCTACAAACAAACCCACGGGCTCAAGGGATGTCATAATTTGCTTTCGGTCACGAACTGACAAGGACACATTTATGGCACAAGTCAAAGGCTAATCTCCATTCATCTTTGAACAGCATTCACTGTGCTTTTTTCAAGACCTCAGCAGGTCCACACTCCAGTGGCATGCCACATTGAAAGAGGTGACCTATCAACTGCGAACAGCAGACATTCAGTACCGGTGGGGAACCCACTGGCGCTTGTAGTGGAGAAGAATGGAAAATGGCACAGACTCGCCTCAGTGTCCAACGCCGACAGCTTCCTGCAAACCTTGGGACTTACTGCTACCACTACTGCCAGGCTGAACAGACCTACACATGAGTGGGATGTCAACAATGTAGTGGTCTTCACACCTGCCAACACAATTGCCCCAGGATGATGCGCCTAACTGAAGAACCTATGTTAACCTACAACCCACAGTTACACTTGCTTTATGTAACATTGTACCTATGCATTTTCTTTTGTTTGTTTTTTTAGTTATGGCTTGCTCTCCCATAGATTTGTCCTCCGGGATCCTCAGACCTATATAGGTCGTTAACATCCTACATAATGCAATAATGTTCACACTCGCTCCCCCAACGCAACCCCCCACCCCCAAGCTCTGGGGCTATGGAGCTTTATTTAATTATCCCCTGGGCTCATCTACACTCGCACTGAATATAAACTCCACATAGCCCAACAAAGCCGGTTGCTAATCGCTATAGACTATAACTCCCCGCAACAGGGACCCTAGACTCCAATCTCCATTATCAACCGCCTGCCACTAAGCACAACCTTCCATGCCTTGGTATGGGTTATTAACTGAGCTATTATAGGGCAGCTCTGCTGATTGTCACTTCCCTTGTGACAGATAATCTTGTGGCTGACATTAGAGGGTACACGTACACGTGTATATCTCGTGATGATTTCATGCCTGTCTCTCATATCCTAGCTACTTACCTTGCCTAAGCTCGTCAACATAGTTGACCATCAAGACCAATGCCTAGGATATGTAATTGCTTTACTATGACTTCACTCACTAGCACTCCTATGCAATGTACAATTTCCCCAATGCCTCTCATACTATAAACAAAAAAGGTGCTGTATCTCTGACTTTTGTTGATAATCCTGCTATCTTCTTACTAAATGTCGTTGCGAGCTTGTTAACCTACCTAAACACTGCAAAAAAAAAAAGTAAAACATAAAAAGCAAACAATAGTGTTTACTGAGTAAAACAAAAAAACGGCAAAGATATAAATGGTAATTTACTCACATTTAATAGAGCAGTAATACCTCTCAACAATTAGTGGTTGGGTGGTATGATCCCCACTCCTAAAGGCAATCCTTGCCAGGGATTGGATGTAGAGTAGATAATTACAAATCTTTTAAAACTGACAAAAACCATTGAGGAATTTTCTGACATATCTGCTACAAACTAAAATATGATAAGTCAACAGCACTATTTAGTAATGAAAGAAGTGTTAATATAAAGAATTGGATTGGCAAATAATAATACCTTTTATAAATCATCTGGGGATTAAAATCTGTGCTAAGGTATCGAAGATAATAGAGATAATTTTTTGCAGTTACTTAAGCAAACAACTTAAAGATTGGAAACACTTGGAATTCTCCTGGTGGAGGAGCGTAAACACATTAAAATCAAATATCTTTCCAAAGCGATGTTATCTTTTCAGATTGATTCCTCTAGAGCAGTGTTTCCCAATTGGAAAATTGGGGTTTCGCCGTGAATTGCCACATTGAAGATGGCCCCTGCTCCCTGCTGTTCGCGTAAGGTCGGAAACAGCAGAGATTGCGCGACTGCTATTTTATTAAGAGATAGCAAGGCTGCTATTATGCATGCCTGCTCTCAGCCCGCCCTCCATCAGCCCACTCTGTCAGCCATTTCATATCCACTCAGTGATAGAGAGTGGAAGCATTCAGGCAGACACTCCGCTCACAATAACAAAGCGGGGGGTTGAGTCAGCGCTAGTCAGAGAGGCAGCAGTCCCAAACAAGGATTCCCTCTAGTGTCCTTGGAATACAAATGGTAGGAGCAGAAAAAAATGGGGGATGGGTCTGCGCCGATGTGTACACTGAGTGTTGAGTCCAATGTATATTGTCGTGTCCAAAGTTCTACTTTTGGTGGGGTTCAGAAGGTACGGTATCGTGGAGAGTAGTCCAAATATAAGAAGTAGAAGAGATCTTACTTACAATTAACAGAGCTTAACCCAGCTCTGGTGTGGATAGCTTGCAGCGGTATTATCCCCGCTTACAGGATATTCGGCAGGTATCCTCTTCTTTGTAGTAGCAGGTGGCCGTAGTTGGGGAAGATAAAATGAAGACAGTAATGGTGCAGTATGTTCTACACTGATACTATTTTATATATTGTTAATAAAAGATTTTGGTCATTTTTACGTATAAACCATTATCTTTTCTATTACCTGGCTATTTTAATAACTTTCTATTTATTTATTTTTTATTTATATTTTATTTTTATTTTTTTATTATTTTAAGTCCTGTATACCATACTCCAAGAATCCCAGGTGAGGATTATACCACCTACGCTGTTACATAGAGCAGTTAGCCTGCCCTATACACTGTGAGTATATTTTATTATTTTATTTTACCATTCAAGATTTTATTGAGAGCACTATCGCTGTTTTACCTTCTCTTCGAGCTCCTGATACTCTGATCAAGATCACTCCTCATATATCCCATAAGCGGGGATGATACCGCTGTACGCCTAACCAACTAGAGCTAGCCTAAGCTCTATCGAATGTGAGTGTATCTACCATATTTTATTATATTTTTTATCAGTGTAGAACATACTGCACCATTACTGTCTTCATTTTATCTTCCCCAACTACGGCCACCTGCTACTACAAAGAAGAGGATACCTGCCGAATATCCTGTAAGCGGGGATAATACCGCTGCAAGCTATCCACACCAGAGCTGGGTTAAGCTCTGTTAATTGTAAGTAAGATCTCTTCTACTTCTTATATTTGGACTACTCTCCACGATACCGTACCTTCTGAACCCCACCAAAAGTAGAACTTTGGACACGACAATATACATTGGACTCAACACTCAGTGTACACATCGGCGCAGACCCATCCCCCATTTTTTTCTACTCCGCTCACAATATTGGCCACAGGAGAAAGGATTTCGTTTTACGTTCTTTACTTTTGTCAGTGCAGTGTTATTCATACAAGCTGGTTTAAACATCACAGCAAGAATATGATTGACAGAGAAAATCAGTAGTAGATGTCAGAAATACTCCACTTTTTTTTCTGTAAAAGAAAGTAAATCAGGCATAGAGAACACGTAAAATAGTATGGCATGGAAAGTGAAAGGATTGCTTTTACTCCTTTTATAGATAACTGCCCTTTGCTGAATGTGGGGATAGGTTTATTTATTTTAAAAAAATTGTAGAGATTGTGTTAAAAGTCTGAAGCTGAAAACAAGTTACTTGGGTTGGGCTTCTCATATTTTCTGTTGGTTAAACGTATTTACATATACTTTTTTCTGCTTACTATCTGTAGAAATCAGTGATTTACCAAAAGAATTTCTTTCTAAGAGCTGTTAAAACAGATACTTTGCAATCTGGTAGTGAAATCTGTACTAATACTAATGTGTTTTTACACTCCAAGACTGACTCAAAATCCTGCTCGTGGTTAAGTTCCAAGTGCTTTATGAAACATCCTTTGCAGTCAGGTAGTGAGATCTGTTTTTTTTTTTTTTATTTTTTTTTTTTTATTGTATTTTATGAGGTACAAACAGTAAATGTGCATTGTTGGTATGTACAATTATCAATTGTCACAATGGCATCCCTTATATTCAACATGCGTAAAACTTGATGCAATTCCAGTGTTTACATGCTTTCCAAATTTTTTACAACTTCCCGTGTCACACGGTGCAAAACAAATCAAACACAACGTTCTTGTACTAGTTTACCCGGTAATTGGAACACAGCATTACATCACTGCCTATTGGAATAGTTATACCATTGATTACCTAGACTCGTTTCCTGTCATTAGAGTCAAATGATACGTATAGGGTTCGCAGTGTCAGTGGTCTTACTGTATTTGATCTCATTGTTCTCGTTTTCTTTTACCCCCTCTGACTGCGGCTTTAACTTGTCTATTAGTCCGGGGTAGTGACGTTACAGGTATACCATCTTGTGTTGAATTTTTCCTTTCGTACCTGTTTTGTCTTCGATATGTATACGAAAAAACTAACAGGGGGAAAAACGAAAAAAGCAAGAAGAACTGGGTGGTGAGAGGGGGGTAGGGAGGGAGGGGGGAGAACATAGGTTCTCGGTGTTCCCCATGTACATATTCTACCTAGTCTCCGGAGATGGCTCCATGTCTCTTAGTAGCCTTGTTTCTTTCCTTGTCTATATGCCACACTTTATGGGGTGCCTGTATTCGTCCCACATATGCCATGCATCTATCCAGAAGTTTTTTGGCGCCCTATGTGCACGTACAGTGCATTCATAAAGTCTGATGTTATCTAGATGTGAGATAATCGTGTCTATTAGTGGAGGATCTTTTTGAAGCCACGCCTTGGCTATAGCTGTTATTGCCGCTATGGCTATGTGAAAAAGGAGATATTGTTGGGATTTTGAGAGGTTCCGTGGTATATGTTGCAGAAGGAATATCTCAGGCGCAAATGCCACGTCCATATTCCCTATTTGTCGCATAAGGGACTGTATGGACTTCCATAGTTTTGTAATGACAGGGCATGTCCACCAAATATGTATGACATCCCCCTTGTCATCACCACATCTCCAACACGCTCCTGTCTGTTTCGGGTCAATATGTTTCAGCTTGGTTGGTACCATATGCCATCTATACAGCATTTTCCTCGACATTTCTATCTGGGCTGTGGATAGAGTTAAGTGTTTGTGGGCCGTAAAGCTTTTACGCCAGTTTTCTTCTGATA